GCCTTGGACAGGGTGGGCCTGTACCACCAAGTGAGCAACAAGACCAGAGGCATCAGCCAGCTGGGCCCCTACAGCTTGGACAAGGACAGCCTCTACGTCAACGGTGACCCACGCTGCTCTCTCTGCCCCCTCTGCTCTCCCCCACCAGCCCTCCCCCAGTGCTGCCCCTTGCCCAGCTGCACCTTCTGACCCTCTGTCTGTCTCTCTTTTCCCAGGCTACAACGAACAGCCAGTCCTGCCCAGTGAGTACCTTGCAAGAGTGGGCTGGGAGCAACAGGCAGCAACTGCCTTGTGGGCATCCTCTTTTGGCAGGAAGTCTGGGGCTGGAGCTTCAGATCATGGGGAGAGGAAGGGAGCATGAAAGCCTTTTGAAATGAGAGCACGGCTGGCACGAGACCTCTGCTCTTCTCCAGCCAAAGCATTGAAACCCTGGCTCTTACCCTTTGTCACTCCCCATCTGTGCTTCTTCCAGCTCCCACCCACCCACCACCGACAGCTGCTGCCCTCGAGCGTTTCACCATCAACTTCACCATCACCAACCTGCCCTACAATTCTGACTTGGAGAATCCAGACTCAGCAAGGTTCAAGTCTGCACAGCGTGTTATGAACATGTTGGTGAGTGGACCATCACTGGGACATTGCTTTGCCCCCTCTCTCCTAATAAGTTTTGGGGGGGTGTCAGGAGCTCTCCTGGGCTCAACCGTGAAACCTCTCCCCTTGGCAGCTCGACCGCCTGCTGAAGGACACCAGCATTGGCCCCGATTTCCAGAGATGTGAAACAACAGCCTTCAGGTATGAGTTGCACCTCCCAGTTTCCCTTTGAAAGTCCTTGCTCAGCTGAAAGGGTCCATTATTGTTGTACTGAGCTGATGCTCAGCCTCTGGAGGCAGGAGCTCCATATTGGTGCCTCCCTGTCTCTGAGGTTCCTATCTGTTCCAACACTCTTCACTCTACATACTGATACTTTAGCCCTAAGATGACTCTAAAGTCCTGCCTGGAAGGGCCACGAAGGCCCAAGGCCAGACGAGAGAGGAAAACATGCAGAGGACACGGGCTCACTGACTTCCCTGTGCTTTGCAGGCCTGGCAGCCAGAGGGACGAGACCCGGGTGGACGCCGTGTGCACCTACAGGAAGGAGCCCTCGGCTGCAGCCTTGGACAGGGTGGGCCTGTACCACCAAGTGAGCAACAAGACCAGAGGCATCAGCCAGCTGGGCCCCTACAGCTTGGACAAGGACAGCCTCTACGTCAACG